CCTCCTCATCCTCTCCTCCCTCCTCCTCCTCCTCCTCCTCCTCCTCCTCCTCCTCCTGCGACGACGGCGACGGCGGCGACGCCAGCCTCGGCGGCGACAGCGGTGCAGACAGCGGCGGCGACAGCGGCAGTGCAGATACCGCTTCCCTGCCCTCGTTTTCGCCTTTTCTGGGCCCCTTCTGGGAGGCCTCCGCCACGGCTGGATTCGCAGCGAAATCCTGGCCAGAGCGCGCCTCAGGAGAGGTCTGGTGAGCAGCGGTATCGGTACCTTTGGGAGTCCCGAGGAACCGCATGCTTGCCGCGCGGCTGCGCGGACCCTCTGGCGCGCCGAAGGAATGGACATTTCGGATGCCCAGAGATTGACACCGACACCAACATCGGCGGTGTGCCTCATGATCCAGATCTCGGCGATGGTGGTAAGATTCGGGCTTCTTACGTAGGTGGCCGAAAGATTACCACCAACACCAAAACAACAAGGATCATCTTCCTCTCGTGGAGGCAATCCCTGGTGTTGGCGTTGGCGCCCACTTTCAAGCGTCTAAATCTTCGCGGGATGAGCGCGCATTTCCACCGTCAGTCCCCCGACTGTGAGGATGCTCCCCGCAACAGACGCAACAGGTCTATCTCACTCCCTCCCGCCCCCCCCGTCCCTCTGGGGAGGATGGCAGGTGTGGGTTGGGGTGCTCTTTTGTTCCCCTTGATATGGTGGAGTCACGGATGAGCATGCAGCGTGGGAGGTCGGCGCGGACGTCTTGGATCGTGGCTTGGCCCCCTCTCCCTCGGCGCGCGGAGCGCGCCAGGGGGTGTCCCTGGAGGCGTCGCCAGAGGCTGGCCGGGCCAAGCACTCCGCGCGGTCCTCTGAAAGAGGTTCCGTGTATGCAAAGTTCCCGAAGCAGCGCCTGCGACTGGCACTCGCTCGATGCGGCGAGGGGTCACTCTCGCAGTGCAAGAGCCAGCGCTTTTTGTTACCCCCGATCCCGAGCTCTTCGGAGTCGCAGCATGTGCCGTGCCGTGGGGGGCGCGCGTGCCGTGCCGTCAGCGTGCCATGCGCGCGCGTGCCGAGCCGTGTCCGAGCGTCAGCAGGCGGACGCACACACACACACACACTCACAGAGACAGAGACAGAGACAGAGACAGAGACAGACACAGACACAGACACAGACACAGACACAGACACAGACACAGACACAGACACAGACACAGACGCAGACACAGAAACAGACACAGACACACACACAGACACACACACACACAGACACACACAGACACACACACAGACACACAGACACACAGAAACACACACAGGCACACACAGACACAAACACAAACACACACGCAAATTCTCACTCACTCCCTCACTCACACACACACGCACGCACGCACACACGCACACACACACAGACCCACAGACCCACACACACACACACACGCACGCACGCACGCACGCACACACACACACACACACGCACACGCACACGCACACGCACACGCACACGCACACGCACACGCACACGCACACGCACACGCACACGCACACGCACACGCACACGCACACGCACACGCACACGCACACGCACACGCACACGCACACGCACACGCACACGCACACGCACACGCACACGCACACGCACACGCACACGCACACGCACACGCACACGCACACGCACACGCACACGCACACGCACACGCACACGGACACACACACGCGCACGCGCACGCGCACGCGCACGCGCACGCGCACGCGCACGCGCACGCGCACGCGCACGCCCACGCGCACGCGCACGCGCACGCGCACGCGCACGCGCACGCGCACGCGCACGCGCACGCGCACGCGCACGCGCACGCGCACGCGCACGCGCACGCGCACGCGCACGCGCACGCGCACGCGCACACACGCACACGCACCACATGCGCACACGCACAGCACACGCAACGCACGCCCACGCGCACGCGCACGCGCACGCGCCGCGCACGCGCACGCGCAGCGCTCGCGCACGCGCACGCGCACGCGCGCGCACGCGACACGACACACGCACACACGCACACACGACCACACACACACGCCACACACGCACACACACCCACATACACATACAAACACCACATACATATACACATACACATACACATACACATACACATACACATACAACATCACATACATACCCATACACATACACACATACACATACACATACACATAACATACACACATACACATACACATACACATAACATACACATACACATACACATACACATACACATACACATACACATACACATACACATACACATACACATACACATACACATACACATAAACATACACATACACATACACATACACATACACATACACATACACATACACATACACATACACATACACATACACATACACATACACATACACATACACATACACATACGCATTACGCATACGCATACGCATACGGCATACACATACGCGCATACGCATACGCATACGCATACGCATACGCATACGCATACGCATACGCATACGCATACGCATACGCATACGCATACGCATACGCATACGCATACACATACACATACACATACACATACACATACACATACACACATACATACACATACACATACACATACACATACACATACACATACACATACACATACACATACACATACACATACACATACACATACACATACACATACACATACACATACACATACACATACACACATACACATACACATACACATACACATACACATACACATACACATACACATACACATACACATACACATACACATACACATACACACACACACACACGCACACGCACACGCACACGTGTGCCGTGACCTGCCCGCTTGTGCCGCTTCTCGCGTGCCGTGCGGTGCCCGCGGGCCGTGACGCGCCGCGCCGGAGCCCGACAGTGGAGGCCCATGCCAAGGAACACCCTGCTTGACTCTAGGGTGCCCTCGGTCTCTCTTGTTTCGATGGTTCTGTTGTGGAAAGCGTGGCGTTCCCACACGAAGCACCCAATGGACGTCCTGGGGGCTCAGGGCTGGGTATCTTGTGGAAGGTCCCTTGTGGACTGGCCTCCACTTTGTGAGTGCGCAAGAAAGGGCCGTGGCGGGTTCGAAGCGCAGAGTGCGAGCGATGGGCCGCGCGCGTGCCGTGTCGCGCCGGCGTCCCGTGCGCCGCGTGCCGTGCTTTGATGAGCCCGTCCTCCACCGCCACGACCATGAGTTGTATAGGGGGAAAGGAGGTGGAGGATGAGGAGGAAGAAGAGGAGGAGGAGGGACCCCTCCCCCTCCTGCTTATGGTGGTGGCGGTGGAAAACAAGCCCGCCCTTGCTTGGCCCACGTGCTGTGCTCTGACCCTGCTCGGGCCTCGTCGTCAGGCGCCACGCGCCTCCTCAGGACGAGCCGTCGCGCGGGGTCTCCAGTCATGGTGGCGTCACGTCCTGCCTCCAGGTGCGTTCGCGGTCGTGACGTACCACATGCCCTGCCTGTTCGGCGAGCCCGCGAAGCGGCAGGCGAAGGCCATCCACGCGGCGGTGCTGAGGCGGGAGGCGCTGAGGTTCGCGGGCGGCGGGGAGCTGGTGGTCAGTATCGTTTAACTAGTCCCCATCCCCATCAGGCCATGGTATCTTAGATCCACCATCCCACCACCCCAGTTGGGGATCGGCTCCTCGACACCCGTTGGGACCAGCCGATATCCTTGTTCTGGCGGGCACATCGGCCACTTGGGCTTTGGCCACGGCAGTGGGGATGGGGAATGGCCGAAAGATGCTCAGGTGGTCGCGGGGGACTTCAACACGAAGCCGCTGGACTCGGAGCTCGGGCTGGTGCACGCGGGGGCCCTCCCGGACGACGCGGCCCGCCCGCCGCCGCTGCTCGGCCTGGGCCTCGAGGACCTCCTGCCGCCCGAGGGCGGGGGCGGGCTCCGCAGCGCCTACGCGGCGGCCCTGGGCAGGGAGCCGGAGTTCACGAACTACGCCTGGATCAAGGGCGGCGGGCGGTTCGCAGAAATCGGGGGCGGCACAGAGGGGGGTGACGACCAGGGAGGGGCGGGCATCACGGCGGGGGCCACGATGTCTCCCCAGGTTTCGTGGCGCCTCTTCTCATCTCGTGGCGTCCCTGGGCCCCCCTGCTTGGGCCGCGCACGCGCGGCCCGCCATGATCTGCGCCCCCCCCCTCTTGGACGCCCCCCTCTTGGCCGCCCCCGAAGGCGGGGGGGGGCTGGCCCTTCTGAGGAGGCAGGGGGGCTGTGCTGCTTTCAAAGGCGCCTGCGGCGAATCACCGCGGTCCCCTTCCGTTCAGGGTACGCCTAGGTGGCCGAACGTTTGGGCGAAGCTTGGGCACTCTGCTGGACCATGCGTTCCCCCAGCCGTTGTGGCAACTCTTCGGAGAACACGGGGGGGGAGACAGAGGAGGATGATGAGAGGGAGGAGAAAGGAAGAGGAGGAGGAGGAGGAGGAGGAGGAGGAGGAGGAGGAGAAGGATGAGAAGGGATGCCACTTGGAACCCACGTGGGGCATTCTTGTGGCCTCCTGGGAGCTTCCTGGGGGCCTTTTGGAGGTCTCTTGGGGGCCTCCCTGGGCCTGTCGGGGGCCTTTGGGGCCTTTTTTGGGGCCTAATTTGGCCGTTTCAGGGCGCTCCTGGCCCCCAAGACGCCGTCGGAAAACTCATACTGGGCCCTCCTAGGGTGGCTCAGTGCCATCTCGGAGGCCATCTTGGGCGTCTTGGAGGCCTCTGGGGCCCCCTTGTGGCACTCTTGGGGCTCGCCTGGAGGCCTTTGGGTCGTTGTGGGGTTTTCTTGGAGGCCTCTTGACTTTAAGGGTAGGTCTTTGGGATATGTTATAGTATCGGGAGCATAGCTCGCGCGCGCCGTTGCCTTTGGCCCAAGGCACGCGCGCCCTATGTGCCCGGACACCGCGAGTGTTCGCTATGTGCTGGAAAGATCATTACATCGATCTTTTCCTATCTTATCCGCCCACCCCTCATACTGTACTATCACAGCAGAGCGATGGACGCTATTTGCCATCCGATGTCTATCATGGAATCGGATGATATTTGAGTTACCAGGCTCATTTTCGACTTGGTAGCGGAGCTGGCCGCACTCTCGTGTGGTCAGCTCTTGCTCTTCTTAGCCTCGTATTCTTCGGCACGATTTTCGTGACCACCTACCACCTTGCGCCACCACTCACAGTACGTTTACGAGGATCTATCCAAGAGCAAGAAGCAACACGAGAGGTACGACGTCTAGACAACCAGACTGGTACCATACACGCTTTATCATTGCGTTACCACCAACCGCTCGGCAACGAGCTAACAGCGCAATACTTGAAGCAGGGGCGGGGAGACCCGCCAGACAGAGCGCCTCGAAGACTCGACAAGGCGCTACCCCAGCGCGACAACGCGCATCATAACCGTCCTTCTTTACACATTCTCGGGCTAGTCGTTTTCGCTATTATATGGTTCGCGCTGGGGGCAGCAATCGGACACATGCGTCGTGGAGAAAACAGCACCGATGGGCAAACACATGGCCCATATTGGGACCCTCAAGGTAATGTACCTTTTCGTGAGTACATCTACGAGGTCAACGCATGGCTCAACGTTACAAGCGGACGTATGACGCCACAGGCCCAAGCGGCCGCAATACAACGCGGCCTAGGTGGCCTAGCGAGGACACTCGCCATGAGGGTACCGCCTGACATTATAAACTATGGTGCTGACATCGATGGGGTCCACACAGACCCAGTGACCTACATCATGTTCCTCCTAAGCATGAAGTTCGAACGCCTGGAAGATGAGCGACAGCTCACTTCCGGCACACAACTCATCGACTTCCACGTGCCTCACGGGGAACGAATCGATGTCACCCTTACCCGATTCGAAATGGCCCGACTTGAGGCACAGTCGGTGGGATTCGACCTTCCCAACTTCCAACTGCTAACCACTATCCTATTCCGCGCCTTAGGCGTCGGCAACCAGCGAGCCATGCAACTCTTACAGCCACTCAATCACCAAATGCCCCGAACACAACAACAGTATGATGAGTTGCTGGAGAGGATGCGTTCGATAGGCCACCTATCCGAACGGTCTCCTGGTAACATGGGATCTGTGTTTGGAAGGGGAAGGGGATCTGGTAGTGGAAATTTCTACACTACCTTGACTACTGAAGCCCAGCCTGGAAACGGGCCCTCAAGCATATGGGCCGATGACCCAGGTGAATCCACTGCGCTATTAGCAGGGGATCGATCACAACCAAGCTGGGCAACCAGCCCTCCTTCTAGAGAACCACAACCACACCGTTCTTCATGGGGGGAATCAAACCCCCTAACCGACGGTGTATCCACTTACTTGGGAGACGAGGATTTCGATGGTGTTGAAGCAGATACAGACACTATACAGACACTATATCATCAGATGGTGTTGAAGCTTTAGACTGGTCAGATATTATGAATATGGATAACGACAATCAGCGTGCTGAGCATTTGTTCTGGTTATTACAACAGGCTAAGCGAAGGTGGAGAAGGTTCACACGAAAACCAGTGCGTCGTGTTAGAAGGAAGATACGTAGAAGTTTTAAAGGAAAGGGTAAAGGCAAGCGAGGTCGTCGGAGGTTGAACGGACGAGGCATCGCGGCATTTCTCCAGAGGCTCTCAGATGAACAACATGATGAGATATTCTTTGGGGGAAAAGGCCGCGGTAAAGGCCGTAGAGAGACCTCGGGAAAAAGGCAAAGGTAGGCGGGGAAACCCGCGAGGTAGAGACGGCCAGGTTCTTAAATGCCATGAATGTGGTAGTTCCGATCATCTTGTGCGAGATTGTCCAGTGAAGGGAAATGGAAAGGGCAGGTCGACCGAAGTCCATTTTGGCTCAAGTGAACCATCCATTGAGTGTCTGAGCCTCCAGGACTTTGAGGCTATGGAGCAGATATTTTTTGTCACTTGGGTTGTTGGCGTGGACAACGTCGACGAGCTCGAGGCGTATGGTCATGGATTGTACGCGTACTACCTCGAGTACGTCCGCCGGTTCGTTATGGGCAATAACGAGCTCACTCCCGCGGGCCACGGTACGCTGGGAAACCAGCCTCTTTCTTTCTTCGACTGGATGTTCGGGAACCCAGGCAACATCATGGCCTACGAGAGCGACGACGAGGACACCACTATAGAGGCTTCGCCTTCCGAGGTTCAACGAAACCTCGAACCTCCGCCCGAAATCCCGCCTGGAAACAGGCCGTCTTTGATGGGAGAATATCCCCAGACCACTGAAGACTTAATTGAAATGGAGTCTCAGGCATTTGTTCAGGCCTTCATTGCAGGCGAACCAGATACTCCGTTTATACCTCCTGGTTCGCTTGCTCCAGGCGAATATGGACCACGCACCCTATTGCAGACTCTCATGAGGATGCATGAGATACTTATTACTGGTTATCCTGGGAGTCAAGAACATATCGAAGCTGACATTATGATAGAGCAGGATACTGATGCTTGTGGTAGCTCAGAGCTGTTGTTGGCAGCTCTGACTCTCATTGACAGCGTGCATCCTCAGGACGTGCAGAGACACTTGATATACTCCCGTGGTAGATGGCGTAATGCTCTAGAAATGGCTATTGCTATGCGCGGTCATGATCTTCCTCCGCCAGGATGGGGTCTCCAGGCGGTGGGAATGTGGCCAACCCGCACGGCCATGCGCAACATTGCCGGGCAGCCTGTGCTCGGCAACGAGCCCGAGCCGACAACGGCGCCTCCTACCCCGGGGCAGCCGAGCGACGCACAGACGCCGGCTATGCAGGAAAACCTGCCTGTACCAGATACGCCAATGGCCATCATCATCGGTAGTTCGACATTAGAAGCAGTAGAAGGCGATGGTTGCGGGTTAGATGAGGATGACGTCACCATCCTCATGATGGACGTGAATGGTGAGGAAGAGGTTGACTTCGATCCTGACGAGTCTGAATCATCATCACCATCGGCACAAGCGCCATTTGCGCCGAGCTGCATCCAGCAGGGAGACCTGCCTCCATTGGACGATCCATCTGGGATCGCACAGGAGCCTCCTCAGGCGCCTCCACCGGGTGCCGCACATGCTGCTTCGGCAGCTTCTTCTGATGAGAATGCCAGAAGGTCTCGTTCCCATACGCGCGTCAGAGAAGAGCCACATCCACAGGCTCGACTTCCTCGTGAGTGGAGGCAGGCTGGCCCAAAAGAACACGCTCTCAGGAGAGGAGGCCAGCCAGCTACTTCCGCATGACGACCCAAGACGCCGAAAAGGGGAACACTCGGCCTTCGGCAAGGGCAACCCTGCCTATAGGGACAGCGAGGGCAAGGCCATCCGCGGAGGCTATCAGCTTGCAACAAATATCCGCCGCCCTGAAATTCAAGAAGCGCGGACTCAGCTGCGAGACATTATCGCGGCTCGCAAGCAGTATAGGCCTCACGCAGCTTGCGGACCTTGTTCCGAACCGTTCCAGAACCACAGGCTAGGATGCCCCGTTGGCAACGACGAAGGCCTGAGCCCCAACAGGGGCAAAACCCCTCATACAGAGGGCCATCCGCAACTTATCCCGATGACACAGGAAGAGATCGCAGAAGTGAATCGCCGTCTCGGGATCTTGAGCCATGTGGATCCGAAAGCCGAAGAGGATAAACCTCCCACGGCTCCAAGGGGACTGGTGCCCATGTCCCAGGAAGAAAAAGACGCGCTCTTTAGTCTTCCTGGAATGCGAGGAAACTCGCCTGGCGTTTCTAGCCAGTCCCAACAACCAGAACCGACAATCAAGGATGAGAACAAAAGGCTCAACGTGTGGCGGAGGACGAGGAGCGCATGCGGACAGCAGAAGAACGCACTCGCGAGGCAACTCGCAAGATGTTGGAGGATTTAGTAAGATCTACATGAAGAGGGCCCCGAAGCCCCCACTCCCACTAACTTCGAAGGCCAAGAGTGAACCCCCGACACCTAAGCCGTCCTCGGTGCCGAAACCGAAGACGAGCCCTCAGGAC